TAGAGCGGTTTTCATTTGAGTGTCGAAAAGTAATTGGTTTTGCACTTTCTACACGATGCGATTGGCTTAAAAGATTCGCGCCACCTTTTCATCCAATCAGAAGTAAAACCAAAGCCAATTGTGACGCGCTCGCATGCATTTTCCCGCGCTTTGCGTCAGCCACATGTCATTACTTCGAGTTTTGATTGGTTCAATATATTGTCTGTGTCCTATGTGATTGGCCAGAGTAATTACTTTGGTTTTGGTTTTACGACACTCAAACGAAAACCACTCTAACGCTCAGAAAAGAGACCAAGATCGTTCGAAACAATCGCGAATTCTAATTGGTGTAGAGGTCATTCGTAATTTCAAAGCCGCAGTGACGTATTTTTGAATTATGACGGAGCTCTATTTTTAACGTATCGAAGCTGTTTCCAGGAAGAATGTAATCATTTTGCGTGTTCAGCTGGACGATGATAGTTGCGTCTAACGCGGCCGGGGGAACTTCGAATAAGGCATTAATTAAGAAAGTAATTGGGTTAGTTGTTGTTGTAGCCGTGTGTGTAGTGGTGGTTGTTATTGTCTTAAACGTTTTAAAAACCTTTGGAGATTCTGATGAAGATTCACAAGAGGAAAGGGAATTTGAAGGTGAGTCGTTACAGAAAAAAAGTCTACAGAAGTCAACCATCTGTTTAAAGCAAATGTAAGGTCAAATTGTTTTACAACAAACACCTCGGAGCTTTTTCTCTACCACCAGTCATCCCTGCCATTCCTGCCATGGGAGCGAAGAGGCGAGACTAGGAACGAGTTCGCTACTCAAGTTTGCAAGCGCATTCGCCCGCCAAATTGCATATTCAAGCGTCGTGCACATGATTGACAACAAGCCTGTTAATAATTCCCTTCATTATCAGGAAAAACTAACTTGCCATTTTTTCCCCCTGCAAAGCTCGTGTCCTGACAAACAATGAAGCGGTTGGTAATTACGGCCCCACAATTCTTAAATACCATGGTGTTCTCAAGCATGAAGTGAAGGTTTCTTCAGAACGTTGGGGAATTCAGCTCTGGACTGTTCCAACTTCCGGTATCTGGTCAATTGAAGCTCGTGGGGCCTCTGGCGCTGATGGGATACTTGCCGGCGGATCCGGAAATAAAAGACGTGGAGGATACGGAGCCACTGTAAAAGCAAAGTTTCAATTACACAAAGGAAAAATACTCAAGATTCTAGTTGGACATGAGGGGTTACGTGATTACAGGGAAGCGCATCGTCCTGGGGGAGGGGGTGGTGGAACTTTTGTAGTGAATCAAGATGGTAGACCGCTGATCGTTGCTGGTGGAGGAGGAGGTGGCGGGCTCCCCAAAGGAGGTGAGAACGTTTCGTTTTGCAATTTGACGACAATAAAAACGGTAAAGAAATTCACTGCAAAAACCGTGGACGAAGATCCTGTATGGTTGTCCATGTTAATTGGATCCCCAGAAAAGAGATTTAGTCAGCTGTTTTGTATTGCGATATTCTCCATATCTATATAATCTTGTAATTCCAATCGAAAAATTTAGTAACAACCGTATTACCTGAAGAAGGCTGGACTGGCCAGTCGAAATATCCGTTAAAGTACGTTTTCAATACACGTTGCTATCAGCTTTGCAGTAGTCTTTGGACTCCTCGTTTTTTGTAAAGAATAAAAACGTTTCTAACTGACCGAAGTCATTTAAAGCTGTTTGCAGATCTAGTCTCATTTACCACCAAACAAGAAGAAAGTGTGGCCCAGGCCAGGCCCCATTGAGCGTTTGAACATTTTTTATTTTTATATCACCAGCACAAATTCACTGCACTGTTTTTTAGCTCACATAGCACGAGCACAGCACATATCTGCTTAAGATGGGCTGTACTACCCTTTGCAGATCACACGTTTAGATTTAGATTTAGAAGTGACCAAAATAATATGAGCGTTTTATACACAAAAGTCGATGATGTATACGTTAATTAATGATAACTCAAAATTGATAACTTTATAACAAAAAAAAGCATATTTATGAATGAACGACGTCGAGAGTGATACCTCAGATCAGTTTTAGTTTTCCAGAATTTTCAACATCTTGCCTTTTCATATTTTAATTCTCAGCTTTTCGTCAAACACGTGGTGGAGGAGGCCGAAGGAGGGATGAACCGTCGTCCTTGGTCAGCGGTAGTGAGGGTTCTGGCGGGAAACTCCTGGACACAAGCAACGGAAGCGAGACAGTTATTACAGATTCCACTGGACACCACAAAGTGATCGCGGGAGCTGGAGGAGGAATGTACAGTAGTGGCGTTGGCTATGATAAAAATTGGGGCGGTAAAAGCTTTCTTGAGGGAGGCAAAGGTGGAGAAGCAAAACCAACCGCCACAGAAGTATTTCCACACGGAAGCATGGGTCTAGGAGGATTTGGTGGGGGTGGTGCTGCGGGGTTGTTGCCCGGCGCAGGAGGAGGGTACTCGGGAGGGGGTGTAAAAGGTTGCTTTCTGCAATGTAATGGTAATGACGGCGGAACGGCTGAAGGAGGAAGCTCGTATGTTGACAGTCAGGGAATCTCTCCCTCGTATAAGGAAGATAAAAACAAAGGTCCTGGAAGAGTTTACTTAAGACTTATGGCTGAAGATGTTGAGGAAACATGATAACAAAAGAAGCCAGATTTCATCTTGGGTACTTTGCAACGAAAAACATTGAGGTGAAAGACATTGAGGTGAAAAAATAAATCACACAGTGGACTGTCCTTTTCCTGTTATACTGTACTCTGTATGGATTAAAAAAATCACACAAAAAACTGGGAAAGACGTGTAAACTGGTGCTCTTTGAAGTGAATAAGTGAAAGGGGCCCCCTCATGATCTCACCTCTCCTTAATTGCTTGTCTATTTATTTGTTTGCCAAATGCACTTTTCCTGCTCCGGAATGCCTGGATTTCTCTTAGCCTATTTCAATCTCTCAGTCAGCTAGGACAGGTGCCCCCTGCCTTCTCATTATTTATTATTTATTTATCCTTTTTTTTTTTTGGCAGGAGCCAGCTCCTGATTTTGCCCTGTTCCGACTATTTAAGAGTCTGGAACAGGACACATTTCAGTACGAGAAATACCAATATGTAGCTACCCAATGGATAAAAAAACCTGTCCTGGTGTTCTATCTTAACTAAGCAAATTGGCCTTTAAACCTAGTTATGAACAGCTTCAATTCTCTAGTGGGGAGTCGAGTAGGGAAAAGAAAAATGGAAAAGGCGCCGCAAGTCGGGGACTGTGAGAAAAGGGAAGATACGGAGGGGTGGGGTGAAGAGGGTATGTTTCTTGGTAACCAATGTTTATACACCGGTATCGGTGATTCAACCAATCAGAAGCACTACCCAGATCTGGCTGGTGACGCGTCATCAGTATGGAATTTCTGCGCTCGTTTCTCAGACGTCATTTGGCGGGAAAACCAGTGGTAGCGTCGCCAAATGTCGGCTATTTTTTAAGGCTAGAATCGGCAAAGCCGATTTGTGACCCGTTTTTTGGCCTTATAAGGAGAAAATAGAAAGCGAAGTATTTTCCTAACACTGTTTCAAAATCGGTCTTTTTTTGTACGTGTGCCCATTTTTACTAAGAATCTCACTTTTCGCTATCATCTCAGGGTGGAGATGGCCAAAGCGGCTGGGCCCGAAAACTGTTTCTTTGCTTTCGATACTAGCTTATCATTACAATTTCTGTGTTCGGATGGCACATTAGCTGGTTCTCCTTAATTACCGGGTAAGTTCACCTTGCAATTATCCCACGCGGAAATGTCATGGATGTGAGCGGATAACAACGCCTACCCCTCCCGGCTCATGAAATTCCACCTCTGAGGGCTCCTGCTCTGTTTTGTTTAAGAACAAAAATTGTTGAATGCAAACTGTTGTTTTGGTGGTTCGGTTCATTTTCTAATTTCTTTTCCACTATTTTTCCCAAGTTTTTGAAGTTCGCGCATTTACGCAGCAACAGGAGCCCATGTTTTCGTTGCCATAGGGGCGGGGCAGGTAATCGTGTCCCTACGTCACGGAATTCTAGTCACATGTTTGCACATGCGCGATCGCAACCAAAACTTACAAGCCGAAAACTGAGGCTGTTCCGTCCAGCATAAATTTTGAGTTGTTTATGATTTTTTTCTTGACTGATCTTAGAAATCTTCACGTCCTGGTTGGCACGAAGGTGCTTTTCTTCATTCCGCAATGGGGCTTAAGCCTCTAGAATTCGAGGATTGCATTTTGGATAGTCCGTATTTTCGCGAGAACATTCATGAACATGAACGAGAACTCGAGCGAACGAACGAGGCCATCAAAGGCCTTATCAAAGAATGCAAGACTTTATTGAAGGCCTTTGAAAGTAAGTGCTCTTGTTCTATTCCAATTTACTTTGTGTATTACATTTTTGATGACGCTTAAAAATTCGCGGAGGTCTTTGAAGTGAATGCCTCACAAGAAAGCTGGACAGCAGCAGACCTGATAACCCCGTGGCAACTTGACTTCCTGCAAAAGTCCGAAATATAGTGAACTTTAACGAAAAAATATGCCACAGATCTTCGGCGTTGCATTTGATTATGTGATCGTCAATTTTTTGTTTTTTTGTAGTATCTGTTTTCGTTTTAAAGCGCAGCGATTTCAAGAATTAAAATAAGCTTGATGTTCCTGTCAAATGAGGTCGTCAATTTCATGACCCCTTGTAGGATTAATTTCCTGGGCTGCAATTGATGCACACAAAATGTTGTTTCGAAGAAATTTCGCCTTACCGAGATCGAGCTATTTTTTCTTTTTCTTTTATTGAAAATTTTATATAGTTTGTTACATTATATTCAATTTTAATTTTCGGCCACTGTACATCTTATAAGACTTGTGTCTGAATGTGATGATTGAGCAAAATGGATATAAGCGTACGTTTATTTGAAACCATTTTTTTTTTAATGAATACTTATCTTTTTACTTCGGGGAGTTCTGTATTTGTGTCTTATATAAATAAAGCTTTGGACATTAGAGTTCTTTATAGGGCCTGGTAGTAAAAAATTATTTCAAATCTATCTCATTAACAATAAAAACATTTACCCGAAGAAGTTCCAAAGGAAGTTGAAACCCCGTCCGATCATCATACCACTGTATGGGCATTCCCTTGTAGATGTTTAGAAGCTATTTTTCAAATTTGTTTTTGTAATATTATTGTTTACAAAATCGGCTCATGTAAGCGGAAATTTTAAAAAGAATCCCAGATTTCACGATTTTGACTTTTTTTGTAACAGTCAAGAAAGAATATTTGTGAGATGATCGTTGTTTCATGTTTACTAGATTCTTTAAATTTTACTCCTTTAGATAGATTTGTTATTAATTTTTTGTCCTTTTTTCCATCAATTAAGTAATCAGCAAGAATGTTTTTGTTATTTTGAATTAAAGGGGCAGGCTTAGGTACCGTGTATCTTGGAAAAACACAAATCAGCCACAAATTGTTAAGGCCATATCCTTGATTTAATGCAAGCATTGCAAATATTTTGTTAACATTTAGTTATCTTATTTGCTTACATAAAATTTAGGGATCCTATGTATACATTGTAATATTACATTGTACATTTGGTAAGCAAATGACAAGAAATTCTTCTTTGTTCTTTTTCTTGTACATTATTTCATTTTTATTCATTTGTTCACTTTAATAAGTGAAATGCATTATTAGCATTTTGCTAGTAGGACAAAAATATGAAAAAGAAAATAACACCAAAGTAAAATAACAAAATAGCAACAACAGATCAGCTGTAAAATACAGTAAGTATACAAGGGCACTTTTTCATGTGAAGAGTGATTTTGTAGTCACCTTGTGGGATTTGCAGTAGCCATAATTGCCTTTTATTTCGAAGTCTTTTAGGAGCGAAGCCACATTAAAATCATCACCAGAAATCAGAAGGCAAAACATTGCTGATTACAAGTTTATAGCAAGTAGTACAAATAGAACAGGATTCATTTTATGTAACCAAGTCCTTTGAATTCAAGTTAGAAAAATATGTGGATTTCAACAGTCACACTAAATATTAAAGTACTTTTTTGGTCCTTGTAAATCCGGATGGTGGGTAGCTAGTGTGCTATATTGTGTTTATTGTATTGTGTTTTTAATCTGCTGTATTTTGTTATTTTGTTGATTGTTGTCTGTAACGTCAAAATATGTTGCAACTTTGATAAGCACATAAACTGTCTGAATAATATTATTGCTTCCTCACACTGTCTATAACCTAATTTGATTGCTTACATAGAAGTCCTCCTAGACTTTTTCCTGTGCACTCTCAAACAAATATACCTTAAATTTGCATAGGGGCCTTGATCAGCTGATTTGGGAGAAAAATCTCCACTTCTTCAATATGAAATAACATGCATTACTCCATACTCCTTTGGTAATATCAGAGCACTGTGCTCTTGTATGTAAAGGCTTTATTTGTTTGTGCAGTACAAGTTTAGAGCTGTGATGTTACTGGTTATACTTTTATATTACCTGTTTGACTTCTTACTGTCATTATATTATATGGTTTTTTGCTCTTTAGAGCCTAGCAATATGGTTAGAATTGCTTGGTACAAAGTTAACTGTTTTTGATATAGTAATATAAAATGGATAGAGCTTAGGGGATATTGGCACTGAATTTGAAAATAACAGACAATATTCATTTGTAGATTTTGAAACTCAACACCAGGTTGTGAAGAGCTTTAAAATTTTTATACCGTTGTTACGAGTAGCAACATTTGGTGGATTGTCGCAGTCTACTTTTAGTAACAGAATCTACATAAAAATGACTAGAAAAATTGCAAATTAATATTATTAATGCACTGAAATGAAACGAAATATACTAATTTTAAGGTTTTCATACTGTCTATTTTGCAAAACATAAAATTTTATTTTAACTTGAATTAAGTCTTCAAACTAACAATATTAGAAGTTTCTTGGATCAACAAGAGTAACAAATTATTAATTTTGTACTCCTTTGTTTTCTTCATGTATATATTTTTTGTTTTAATAAAATGTTATTTCAGTCATCAATTATAATTTAAAATATGACTTTTGCCATTTTATTAGTCTGTTATTCTATTAGTTTATGATAAATTATTTATAGGTTGTACAGCTGTTGAAAAAAATTACAAATTATAAGTGCTTTTAATATGTCAAAGGACATGTACATGTACTTGCTTTACAAATTATTATTTGAAACCTAAAACGTATATGTATGTTTAAAAATGACCTTAAAAGTTGTAGATAAGTGACAAAAAAATACAGTCAGTTAAATATTGATTGGTGGTACATTTTTATGTGCAAAAATATCTTTTATACTACATATTAATATTATTAAATGCTACACTACGTAAGTTTTTGTACATGATTGTAGTCATGTACTGTTTTGAAATAGTCTCTTAGCAGTTTATTGTAGGATTAAAACAAGTTTTCCATGTTATGGAAAGTGGACCCCACCTATACTTCACTCCTAGAGGTGATGAATAGCAAAACAAACAACATTAATTTCCAAGATAACATTAAAACTGTCATACCATGGACCACATATTGCCTGCCAGTCTAGTATTGTACCAAAATATCTAAGGTCATTAGTATAAGCTGTCAAAGGTTACTGTCTACTAACACCTGCATTGCTAGATGGAGGCTGGGTAGAGTTTCCAGGGGCTTCCACTTTTGGCAGCCAGCCCCTAGACTGAATATTGCCCACATGGCTAGCCCAACGGTGCAACCCAGCCATTAGTCCCCACAAAAAAAGGATACAAAACAAAACAGGCACCCGTCACACTGGGAAAATATCAGTAAGGAACAACTGGGAGGGGAGGGGAGGGGAGGGGAGAGGAAGAAAAAGTGGAAAAAAGAAACCTTGTGGTAGGAGAAAATGCAGCACAAAAGAAAAACTCCACATGCCACTGAATCACATGAAAGATGTAGCAAACTACTGGGCATGCACATGCTGATAACTACAGATCACTACTTCTTGGCCAAAAGTTACAAGTGTTTACACTATACCTGTGTATCTTTTCTAGATTTATCAAAGGCACAGAGGAGTTTCGCCCAAGTACTTAATGACCTTAGATTTGAGTACATTGGTGAGGTTGAAACAGATGATGAGATGCTGATTGGTGAGTATTTAACCACAGCCTTTTTGCAAGAGAAAACTTAGGCTTCTTTGTTAAACAGTTAGGTTGAATTTATGGAGATCTGGATACTGCTTCTGAGTGCCTCAAATTTGCCTCAACCAAGTGGAAGCACTCCCCAGATCTGAGAACTAGTGGGTCATCAGTATGGAATTTTTGCAGTCATTGCTCAGACGTCATTTCACTGGGAGCATCATTGGTGGTGGTGTGAGATGCTGGCTGTTTTCTAACGCTTATTTATGAATGGAAAGGGCCGTTTTGTGTCAATCTTTCATCTGGGTTTTCTTTCTCAAATTTTAGCGGATGCACTGAAGGAATTTGGCAAGATGATTGACAGTGTAGAAGATGAAAGGGACAGAATGGTATGTGTATAGCTTGCTGTCTTGAAGGGCTTGAAAAAACTTGAATTTCAGCTTGTCCTTTGGGCAAGCAGCTCCCATTTTGCTTGCCCGGGGACACTTCTTGCTCGTTTAGTTAATGATTTTGTTTGAGGATGACTTGTTTCAAAGTTACTTGCCCAGCAAGAAAATCTATGTGTACCAGACTTCCAGGTGGGGCTTTTTTGAGCCCTTTAATTGATTTCATTTCCAACCAATTACTTTCACCAGTTTTCTACTAGTAACCTGTTGCCACTGCGCTTACTCTGATTTCTGATACATGTACATCAACAACTTTGTGCATAAATATCATATGCACTCACTTTCCATGTAGTATTTTATAATTATGCTGTAGTAATATTTAAGTGTTTCAGAAGTTGAAAGTGTTGTCCATTTTTTGTTTCTCTGCAGTTAAACCATGCTAATTCCCAATTAATTGTGCCACTGGAGACATTCAGAAAGGAGCAGATTGGTGGTGCAAAGGTACAAATATCCCTTTCAAGAATAATATCAGCCATAGTAAAAAAAGAATCGCAAAGAAACTCATTTTGAAAATAATAAAAAGGGTAATAATGGCAAAGTGAAGAATAATAATAATACTTACATCAACAACAATGATAATAGTAACAGTAATAATATTTTAATATTTATACTGTTGATGTAGTTACATTTTTTTGTAGGAGGAAAAGAAGAAATTTGACAAGCAGACAGAGAAATTTTGTCTATCAGTACAAAACTACCTAAACCTATCTTCAAAGAAAAAAGATTCTATTTTGACAGAGGTGAGATTTTCTTTATTGCTACAAGAATGGTAAAATGATAAATGCTTTCACCTTTGTTTGTAGTTAAAGTGCACTAAGCTGCTTTAGTTAGTTCACTTGCCATCTGCTCATATGATTTTTAAAAAATAATCCCAATAGAACATAACAGGATTAGAACCCCCAATTTCAGGAGGTAACCAGTTGGTTATTTACGCGCAAGGCCTGAGGAGTCAGAGCAACTGAGAAACAAGCTAAAAGGACGCAAACATTTTTCTCCCTCTGGATTTTTAGTGTGATACACTGACCACTTGCCCATGCACACTGCCTCCTCTTCCACTGGATGACAACAGCCTTACTATCCCCACACCTAGATCAAAATTTGATAATATCAATGCTGCAACTGACAAATGCTACAACACAGCCCACCCACACCCCCCCCCCCCCCCCCCCACCCCCCCCACCACCCACCACCAACCCCCCCCCCACCCACCCCCCAACAACACCACCACACACAAAAACGACTACTTGACATTCAAC